GTCAATGAGAGACTGAAATGTTTTTGTAATTTTTCTCACCTCCAAAAGAATGATTGTCGTGGCAAAATCACCAGTTAGTTCTTTTTTATGAAAAAAAGAAGAAGAAAGGAAACGTAACTTGTCAGTTGGTAGGCTTACTTTCAATGACAAATTGATTATATGAAGAATAAACTGAGTTTATTAAAGATATATACATGTATGTAACAATAGATACTCAAACTAACTTGTACTCCATCATAAGAACGATGAAATAAGATCCTTTACTCGTATTTTGGTCTATATACAGTGCTTGATGTCGATAATTACTTCATTTTTAGGTTTAGGGACGGCTCAATGCCTTGAGTTTAGGGTTAGGTATCTATGAATCTATGATTTATATTACAAAACAATAATGCAAAATTTTAAAACAACGTTGATTTTGAAAATGACATAGATTTAGACATAAGCACAAGATCAACACCGAATGGATGAGGACTTTGGCTCCCATTGAAAAGCAAAAGGTTAGGCACCCATGTAGAAGTGTTTCTAAAAGAACCCAAAATCACTTATGAATAGAAACACATATAGAACGGAGGTACTTCTCCATAAAATTACTTCAAGTGATGTTATTCATAAGAAAATAGTACGTATTTCTGCTTTCTACGTATGTCATTTCAAATAATTGCTTCTCTCCATAAGTGATTATAGCTCGTAATCACTTGTAATTAAACAAACTCTAATTAGTAAAAAGTAATATTCATACTAATTCTCCAAGCTCCAAACAATTAACCCATCAAGTCACGAAAAGACATGTCGCCCACAGTGGGATCACGTAAAGGAAGCCAGGCATGTTTGCTTGTCGTCTAGATTGTGATATAATGTAATGTAACCGGCATTTATTTGGAGTTAAGAATTTCATAGTACTTTCGATTGGAAATTTTGTAGAGTAGCCTTTTGTTTGTAGTGTTTTTGGTTTGGGTCTCAGTCATAGCCGCATGCACAAGTCTGTGGGTTTGAAGAGCAATTTATAAGTTTCAGTAATGCAACACATAGTTTTACGATATTGGTGTATTAATTCATGTGACAAATGATACATACAATTAATATTTAATGGGTTAAATTCTTTAATTAACGTGATGTGTACAAATTACTAGCTATGTCATATGGCCAGTCTTTAGAATATTGGTATTAGTGGAAGTATCGATAAGTAAATTTGTGGAAATGTCGATGGATATATAGATGTCAATTACCTTCTATGAAAATTTGTTGAAAAGACGTGGAAACTCAAAATGGAACTTTAGAGAATGTCAAACACTAGTTTAAACAAAATATAAGTTTTTATATTTAACTGGTCGTATGTCGGATAATATCGACTAAATATGTTCATTTTAGCTGAAATTTTAGAGTTTCTTCAATATGGATGAAGTCTAAACTTCACCTCCTTTCCATATCTTTATTTGATTTTTCCGATAAATCCAGGGAAATACCAGAGAAATTTCAAACGCTATATATGGTATATCAATAAGGTACAAAAAAATATAGCATATATTGTATTCTATTCCTATTGAACAAATGAAGATATATCTAAGATGTAGTTTCATTTAGATGTGGTTTCGTTTCATTTGGTTGGAAGAATATGACAAATGAAGATATATCTGAAGATATTGTTTCGTTTGGTTGGAAGAATGGATTTGGACATGGGATGGGAGGTGAGTGACGGTGACATTATAAATTTGGGACCAGAACTTAGTTAAGGGTCACTTAAATTTATATATCCTCTCAATTTATTGTCGGGCATCGACGAGTAGGCACATGATATCTCTCTTAGTCTTTCCCTTCACGTGAAAGGTTTTTAATTATTTATTTTTTTATTTTTTAACAAACGATATTATCTACACTAAGAAGAGGGGGTAGGCTAAGTCTCATAATGAGCTAGCAATAATGTAGTTCAAATTCGCCTTAAGCGAAAATCGAACCTAAGAACTTTCACTTGCAAGTGAAGAAAAATGCTACTCGACCGTAAGTTCTGCTTCACTTGTAAGTGATAGGTCTTAGGATTGATTCTCACCAAAAGAGAGTTTGAACCAGGTTACTATGGCTAGCCAATTGCAGGACTTAACACACTTTCTCACTCTCTTAGTGTAGATAATATCGTTTGTTAAAAAAAAAAAAATTAACTTAAGCGAGATATTAGTTGATAGAGCCAAGCTTTAATTTTGGGTAGAAACTTGAAGCCCAAAGAAGATTTGAACTAATATAGGCCATAAAATGCAAGATGGCATTGTGGGAAGTGCGAAAAAAGTTCTAAACTAATTAAGGGCCCAGGCGAGCTGAAATAATCTCGATGTGTACAAATTGGGCCCAAGAAAGAACGACACATGGCCCATGATTGAAGAGGCATGTTAGGCAGTCCGGCCCACAAAAAGCAGTAAAATAAAAAGGGAAAACAAATCTTCACCAATAAATAATGCTTTTACTAAATTGACACTAAACAAAAACTAAAGAGGCATTGCAGGACACTAAAACATGTTTTATTGTTTGTTTTAGTTTTAATTGAAGATTTGTTTCTATTTAGTTTACTAATTATTTTTCCGATATTAGGAGGATACTTGTTTTCGGACATCCCAAATTGGTTTCCTCTTAACCTCAAGGGGTATGTTATATTTAAAGTTTTAAACCCTCAGGCCTTTTAGGATCTTTATTTTTTTTCTTTTCAAAAAAAAAAAAAGAGATTAGGTGCAGGGCCCATTCCATATCGAACTTCAAACGATCCGAACCATCTATTTTATAAGTCTCGACTCATAGATCATTTTTGCAAAAATTCAATTCAATCCGAAATCATTTGCCTATTTAATTATCAAGATAAAAACTGCTTTGTTTTTTAGATAACAAAGTATTCATTAAGTTTTTTGAACCCAATTAGATATCATAAATATTTTTGATTTGGCTAATATTTTACAAGGATGGTTTATGAGGTGCAACTTGAAGCATAAATGGTTCAGATCGTTAAAGTTCGATATGGTGTGGACCCCACAACTAATTCCCATTTTTATAAAAAAAAAATAGAATCCTTTCCCTTAAAGCCTTATTTTAAACCCCAAGCCTACTTCTTTACGTCAACTTACAAAATTTTACTAACTTGATCGTCGAAGTATCTTTATTTGATAACCGATAACAAATCAATGCTCTTCACAGGGACAATCCCCAAATATCTGTTAAACTTTGCAGGTAAGTGTTGGTATCCACTACTTCAAAAAGGTGTTAAAGATGATAATATTAAATACACCTTGTGATGAGTTCGAGTGTTCCACACCTGAACTCTAATTTTGACTATTGGCATTGTGACTATTTAATTTATCATCACACTTTCATATTGTTTATAGAAAATTTTAAAATATTCTTTTATGATCATGATTATATATTTTTATATTCTGATACCTCATGTTTTAAGTGTGTTTTTTTTTTACGAAAGAAAAAAAATATATAAAAGTAGGATGACTCCCGCATGGAAAATAAGAGTGTAAGCGCCCGAAATGAGCAAGCCATTATGGCGCGACTAGAACTCTTGAAATAAAGTCTGTTTTTCCTCCATTGGACACTACCGTAATGTCCTGAGCAATGAGCTCCAAAGCACTCTCCGAGGGCATGGAATGTCTAATTTTTCGGTCAGAATCTCGACAGTAATGTCTAATTATGTTAAAAACATGAGGTATCAGAATATAAAAATATATAATCATGATCATAAAAGAATATTTTAAAATTTTCTATAAACAATATGAAAGTGTGATGATAAATTAAATAGTCACAATGCCAATAGTCAAAATTAGAGTTCAGGTGTGGAACACTCGAACTCATCACAAGGTGTATTTAATATTATCATCTTTAACACCTTTTTGAAGTAGTGGATACCAACACTTACCTGCAAAGTTTAACAAACATAATATTTTATAATAAAATATAAAAATTAACTTTAAACTATTAAGTGAAAAAAAATCGTTTAATAGGGTCGTAACATTCCTCGTTCAATAATAGAGAAAAGGAAAGGAGGTGCCGACCAAAAAGTTGGACAAGTTGACCGCGGGAAGTGTCGTGGTAAGTAATCTGGGAAATTGTGCAGGTGGACGCGTGTGCGGTACGTGAGAGCGAGCACACCAATCCTTCCTACTCGAGCGAGTAAGAATCCAAAAAGTTGCGTTCCACTTTCCAATTGGAACTTTTGGAAGCATGGATTATTATAGTACCTCACAGTTGCGAATGTTCCCCCATTCCAGCTTTTTATCCATCTGGAGAGAGGAGAGGTCAAGTTTCTCCTTCTGGTTCCTACAAACTTGTCAAATTCCCAACCCAAATAGTAATTTCTAATCAATCTTCTGCTTTTCTGGGTAAGTTCTGAATCACTACTTTTACTGTCGATTCATTGTTTTTGTTGCTAATCTTGTGATATTCTTGCTTGTTTTTGTTGACAATGTTTTTATTTTTTGGGTGCGGAAGTTGATTATGTTATGAATTTGACTGTGTTTTTATTTTTTTAATTAAGTTTTGAATTTCCAGTTGGTTTTTTGAGAATTTTCAATTTTCTGAAGTGTATAGTTTTTCCATTGAATGTGTTCCATTGGGGTTTTAGAAAGCTTCAACTTTGAATTTTGGGAAGTTTGAGCTTTTAATTCTCTAATTTTTGAGTTGCCATAGACAATCAGACATGGTCTGGTTAAAATCTGAATTGCTGGCTGTTGTTGCAATCGATATGTTTTTGTCTTTTGAATTGATTAAGGTGGTGTTTTTGATGTACTTTGATCCGTCGGGCTCAGTTCGTTAGTAGGGTTTGGAATCAAAGTTCGCATGTGAAATCCAAGCTTGGTTTTTTTGTTTGTAAAATTCAGTAGCCATTTGCAGAACTCGTTTACCAGTCTGATGAGAAAACAGGTGTAAAATATCATCTACTTATATGCACACTTTGTTTAAAGTTTCGCCTTTGATTGACATGTTAGTTGAATTTGCAGAGCCCAGCATTTGAAAGACGAAACAGAAGAGAGGCCCGGTTTCTCAACCATGCAGTTATATCACCATCCTTACTCATTGGATAGCCAAAGAGTGAGACTTGCTTTGGAGGAAAAGGCATTGATTACACATCATTCCATGTCAATCCCGTGACGGTCAAGAACATGGATGCCTCATTCTTCAGGAGGAATCCGAGTGCAAAACTCCCGGTTTTCCAGAACGGGCACCATATCATTTACAACACCATTGAGATCATTCAGTATGTTACACACTTCACTAACACAGTCTGATAATATTGTATTATATAAGTTATATGCTATCGATTTTAGAATTCACTTCAGATTTGTGTCGTAAAAGCGAAACATAATAATGAATGTTGAATAGCATACGAGTATGTTGGCCTTGACAGTTTTCTCTTTCAATTTTCAAGCAATGTGTTAGTGTTTCCAAAACATGTTGACTTTGAAACGAGGAAGATTTTAAACTGCTATTTGTGTATCCAGGTATGTGGAAAGAATTGCACTAGTCTCATCAGGGAAAGAGAACATCCCTTCAAGTGGCGGAGAAGTGACTGCATGGATGCACAGAATAAAACAATGGAACCCCAAGTTCTTTACGCTTTCTCACATCCCAAAGAAGCACCGCGATTATGTCTCTAAGTTCATAAGGCAGGTGATTATTGCTCGAATGGCGGAAGCTACTGATCTAGCTGCTGCTTATCACGCCAAGTTAGTCCAAGTGTACGAGACAGAAGACAAGTTAAAAGACCCTGCGGTTTTGAAACAGAGCAAGGAACAGTTAATAAGACTTCTTGATCAAGTCGAAAAAAAGCTGAATGAATCGGCTTATTTGGCCGGGGAAGAGTTTAGCATGGCGGATGTGATGCTCGTTCCTGTGCTGGCACGGCTAGTGATGTTGAATTTGAAGGAAGAGTATATAGATAGCCGGCCGAACACGGCTAAATACTGGATTATGGTGCAGCAGAGGCCTAGTTATAAGAAGGTGATTGGGAAGTACTTCAGTGGGTGGAGGAAGCACAAAACATTTATTAGAACTTGGTGTTTTGTTCACATCAGAACCATTCTAAGGAGATTTTGATGCTGTAAAAACCACGCAGTTGCATTACAAGCAAAATAAATGTTAATTCAAATGTATGTATATTTTCGGGTTGGAAGCCTGCTCGGAATAATTTATGTACATATACAAGCATAAAATTTTATTTGTGTTATTTATTGTGTGTTTAAAGTCCTCAGCTAGTTTGATGAATTTTTTATTTTTTTATTTTTTATATAACAGTAATGGGGATTAGAGTTGAGCAAAATAACACAATTAGTCAGCAATAATTTGATATCAAACATCCGTTAAAGTAACTTTGTCATTATCAATGGTTGAGCGAGCGTCACGCTGCGTGGCCCGACAGCGCAGCTGTGACATAAAATACTACTTAAGACTGATAAATACCACATTTGGAAAATGGAGAAAAACGTCGATCAATGATTCACCAGAGTTGCAGTATTTGCATTCATCAAGCAGTGAAGATTGATAAGTGATGAACAGCATGATTTGATTAGGAATACCGCCACCTCAAGAATTAATCATTCGATGTTCGACAAATAAAAGCTGAACACAATTCACCTAACCAGATAAATGAATCAAAAACTCAAAATTTTGACTCTACTCTATAAGTCCCCACAGAGACAGACTTGTAATAAGATCACAGCTCATGATTAGAGACAAACTTGATGGACAACATTAATAAAGTCTTCATAATCTTAAAACGTTATTCAGAAATCATATCAGTATTGTTCTGGTAACACCAGAAAACGCTAAGATCGAAAGCCATGAAGCTCAGCTTGGCGGCCTAAAACAACGAGGCCGAGTACAAAGAAAGCAATAAATCACAATGAGAATGTTACATAAATTAAAATTATCAGTATCTGTAAGAGCACATGACCATACGGGAGCAATTTTTCTCATTCGAAGACTTGAATATCGAATAAAATTTCAATTAAATAAACCCGAAAAGGGAAAGTAAAGAATTGTGGAAAACATTTGAGGTATAAAGCAAATAAGCTAAGCAGCCTCATCCTATGAAAGAATGTTGATCAATGGTGGTGTGAATGCAGACTGGCAGTATTTCCAGCTCTCTCAACCCTATGGCTTAAATCCTCTGCATAAAATGAACTTGTATGCTCATTTGCTACATTTCCTACGCCTATGCTGCTGTTCGCTCCACCCTGGGAGTTGTTTCCGTTGCACCCCCACCCGTTTCTGTCGCCGAAGGATGGGGGTCCAAATTTTGTATTAATATTATTATCATTATTATGATTCCAGTACTTCTGCTGCTTGAAGTATCTCCTTCCCAAATCATTCGAGAATTCTCTCGGCCGCTTAGATGCACATTGGTTGTTTACGCATGGAATGTTAAACTCTGCCTGATTGGCACCAGTTGTGCTAGGAATGCTATCATTAGAGTGAGAAATTGCAGGAACACACCTGTCATGTTGTCCTTCTGCAGGCTGACTAACTGCCATATGATTGATGGGATGAGAAGGTGAAGGGCCTTTCTTGTGACGGGGCACCGAGGGTAATGGTGGGAAAGGAAGAAAAGGTATCCCAGGAGCAAGATGGGGTGTCCCATATTGCTGCATGACACACAGTGGAATTCCGTACGAGATGGGTAAGCGAGAAACAAATTTCTCCTGTGGATGCCCTATCACTGGAGCAGCAGGACACTTCAAAGGACAAAATGATGACGAAGCAAAAGATGAAATTGCAGGGGCATCAAACCCAGGAGGAAGATCGTCGAGGTTCATCTCTGTTCCATCATTTTGCTGACAGTTGCCATGCACACTGCTGGAACAAGTTCCATCTTCTCCACTCACCCTCTGGATATGCAATGATATTTCACCTATCCCAGGCAATGGACTAGGTGCTAACTGTCTACGCAATCCAGACTCGCTCTTCTGTTCTTTGTTCTGAAGTAAACTTGAATCTGGGTCTGCTGGTTGATCCCATCGGCTTTTACGCTTGCGTACTTTTGTCTCACTGGTAGGGCAACCACCCGTACAAGGTGCAGAAGAGACCTCCTGGAAGCCAGTACTCACAGAAGTTGTTGAAACCATTGATTGTTTGGAACTATCTATAGCTTCAGTAGACCTTCCACCTTGATCACGCCAATCATCATGTGATGGGGAAAGTCTGTTGGAGTTTGAACCTCTGTTAAATTCCATCTTGCTATCAACCCTGTCTACGTAGCTATGTCTTCTGAAAGGTCTAGGAATCCACTTGTCTCGAAAATTCCGTGCTATTTGGTGGACCTGTAGAATCCTCAACTGATTCAGACTCAGAGGTTATATTCATTCGTCGATGTATCATGCACCAACATATGACAGAGAACATCAAATGAAGCCCGCCTAAGCAACTATTTCGATAAAGAGGATAACAAAATAGGTGATCAAGTAATCTACACAGATTTTTCAAAACTAGACCTGTCTGTCTTCGTGTTCTGTCAGTGACAGCATTGACTCCATAAAGCTGCAGAGAAACACAATTATCAGGAAATAAGCAAGATTTTTAAATTTGAGGACTGATATCAATTTGCAGGAAAAAAAATTGAACAGCTGGAAGTGTTCAACTGAGTGAAGGTCTTGGGACCAAATATATTCCCAAACATGTAATAATATCAGAATTGCTTCTCTACATAAACAGCAAAGCAACTAGAAAACCTTTTCGAAACGATGCCATCAGTTAAATCTAAAACCAACTTCCAGTGTCAAACTCAAACAGTGCACCCCAACAAAGGAGAAGAAAGGAGCAACGTGATTATAACAAATCAATAACCAAATTTAACGACGAAACAAATAATTACCTCTCCATTCCAGCGCAGGGAGGACCTCCAGTAATATGCTCTGATGTAAGTATCTGCCTCATAGCTAAATACTCTAGGACCTGCGAAAATAATATTAGTCAGCTGAATACCAAAATATTGACAAAGAAATGTTCTCTTTATCACATTTTTCTTGAATCCCTGAAGGCACTCTCTCTCTCACACACACACACACAGAGCTAATACTTGAAACACGGGCAATTTTACAGCTGGAGTTAAAAAACACAGTACATAACTAAAACAGTTTCCAGTGCACACACCTTCAGAAGCTTCCGAAGGATTGGTATCTTTTTGAAGTCTTCTCTGTATTTTTTCATTATGTTGTGTAGCATTCTCAAACCTAACCAAAAAAAAAAAATATTCAACTATTGGAAGCAAATGGGGGCGCAATAAATTAATTCATTTGATACCGACAAAAGGGGAAACAGTTAGCATGCTATGCGACAAAAAGGAGGGTACACACCATTTTTATTTATTACATCAATCAAAACCATCCGTGACTTTGTTTTCAAAAGCGCATCAAGGATCATAGAAAGATCTCGATTGCTGCAAAAAAGAAAAAAGACTTTAATGGAGAACTGTTATCTACAAACTTCACCTCAACAACAATAAATGAAGCTTGAAAAGTGGCTAACATTACAACAAAGGCAACAATATGAAGTAAAAAGTTTCAATATACCTCTGAATTACTTCACCACTGCCACTATCACCAGATACAGCAGTAAGGATAAGAAGCTTCAAGTAGCCCTTAGTGGAATCCTGTAAGAAAATAACATGCATATATAAACTACCAATATAAGAAAAATTATATAGTAGACAAAGGAGAAAAAGCTGTCAATGGTAAATGCTTCAAAATTGACATTGAAAAGAAAATGGGATGCAGCGTGTTCAGTAGCAGAGACAGAACAACACACATGATTTGAGTAATATAGCCAAACAATGAAAGGTGTATTATGATAAAATACAGGCCCATAAGAGAATGGAATAAATGTGATAAGGAATCCACAAAATGAAGCACATTAGCTTCCATTGCTACTACTTACTTTCCGTTTATTTATCCCTCCATCGCCATCCAACAGCTCAGTTAAGCTTCTCCTCAACTGCAACCATTTGCATCAAGCCTCAATCAATCAACGAATCCCTTAATTCTAACTCTAAGTAAAACAAGATGAAAAAAAATCCCTAACCTGAACCTTCTGTTAATCGTTTGGGCTTGATAGATAGCACAGTGAGATTTGGTGGCTGCCACTTGAATTTTGTTACCACTTGGGGTAATCTTCACTTTGCTTTTCTTCACAAAACTGGTTGATTTGGAAGTTTTCACATTAGAACCCACTTTGGAAGGAACCTGTCCAACTTCAATAGTACCAGACTTGGACTTCCTGTTACTGTCAGTGCCATCAGATAATGATTTGCCAAGCACTTTTATTGGAGTAGTCTCTAGTGCTTCAGAGGAGTTTGAGGATTTTTCTGTAGTCTCCTTTTCCCCCAAAATTTCCTGCTCAATAGCAGGTATGGGTACACTAGTTACATCTTCTCTTTGTTGGAAAGCTTCAACTGGTTGGACAGAAGATGGGTTCTGTCTTGAGTGATTCAATTCCAATGAATCGTGTATGTGAGAAACAAGTGAATCAGATTGATTCACGGACTCCTCTCTTTGTGTGGTAAACTCCAATTCCCCAATAGAAACTGTTGTATTATCAATTACTTTATTTGCAGGCAACGTATTGTCAGACCTATCTTCAGATACACCATCTTCTGGGATCATCACGGGCTCCATATATTCTTCATCTGAATCATCTTGAACAATGACTTCGGTATCAAGAGGATCACCACCTATGTAACCCCGACATTGAGATGAACCACAGTGACATTTTTTGGCAGCAGCTCCGAAAACCCTTACATAGTTGTAGTCAAATGTAACCTCTTCACCCTGAAATATAATAATATGGGCCAATATATACAGAACGACAATTATCAACACACAGCAATGAAAAAGAAAAAATATAGCTAAAAATAACAGCTTCAAAAGCAAATGCAGGGAAACAGGCTGCTAGACATAACTCAAAAATTCAAGGCTATTTTGTTTTCCCTTTGGATTATTTTAATTCTAGATCCTTTTTTTCACTTAAATTATATCTAGAGAACACTAGTAATGGGACACTTGCAAGTTCCAAGTCCATCGAAAAGGTGGATCAGTCTCCAACGGTAAAGGGATAACTACATGATTTGGCATATGGCCACCATAAAATATACTCTTTCCAGACAACTGGATTACACTCAGGACAAGCAATAAAACTGTCAATTGTGTAAGAGCCATTAATGGGTCGACAAGGGTG